TGCAGCTATGAAAAAGAAGGATCAATTACCCCTTGAGACATCATGGAGGGCCCTGGAGATGATTATGCTAAGTGAACTAAGCCAGTCAGAGATAGACAAATATCACGTGATCTCGCTTATATGTGGAAACTGAAGAACACCATACCCTGATGAATAAAATAGAACCAGAGGCATGGAAACATGGAACAGACTGACAAATCTCAGTGGGAAGGTGTGAGGGGTGTAGAGGAGATTAACCAGAGGATTTATATGAATATATGCATTGGCCATGAATACAGAGAATAGTGTGGTGAAGGCCTGGGGCCCTGTGGGAACCAGATGGTGGGAGGAAAGTGGGAAAAGAGGGGGAGACATTTGTAATACTCTCAACAATAAAGATATAAAAATAGCAATTGCATAGATTTCAGATCTAGTATGAATATTGCATAAATTTAAATGGGACCAGAAATGACCCCAAATAGCCTCAATAATCTTGAGAAAGGAACAAAGTTTGAGGTATCACATTATCTGATATCAAACTATAATACAAGGCCATAGTAATCAAAACAGAATGGTATTGGCACAAGAATAAGTATAGGGAACAATGGAACAGAATAGAGAGCACAATAATAAACCAACAACTTTGTGGTCAATTAATATTTGCCAAAGCAGGCAAAACATACAATGGGCTAACGACAGTCCATTCAATAAATGATATTATGAAAATTGGACAGATACATGCAAAAAAATGTAACTAAACCACTAACTTACACCATACACAAGAATAAACTCAAAATGGATTAAACACAAGTGTGTTCCAAAACTATAAAAATCCTAGAAGAAAACATATTCAATATAATCTCAGACATTTCTCATTGAAGTTTTTTCTGCCAATATATTTCTTTGAGCAAGGGAAGTAAAGGAAAAGATAAACAAATGGGACTTTAGCAAACTACAAAGCCTTTGCACAGCAAAATAAACCATCAATAAAATGAAAGGGAACCCATTGATTGGGAGAATGAATGATACATCTGACAAGGGGTTAATTTCCAAAAATATATAAGGATTTATACAATTTAACACCAAGAAGGCAAACAACTCAATTTAAAAAATGAGCAAAGAACCTGAGTAGACTCTTCTCCAAAGAGGATATATAGATGGCCAATAGACATATGAAAAAAAATGCTCCGTGTCACTAATCATCAGAGAGATGCAAATTAAAAATTAAAGCTATGATGAGGTATTACCTCACAACTGTCAGAATGGCTATCATTAAAAGCAACAAGTGATAATGAGGATGTAGAGAAAGGGAATATTCATGCCCTGTTGGTGAGAATGCAGACTAGTGCTGCCACTGGAGGAAGCACTATGAGGTTTACTAAAAAAATTAAAAATGAAATGCCCTTTTAATCAAGCAATCCTACTTCTGGGAATATATCCACAGAAACCTGAAACACTAATGCAAAAGAATATGTGCACCCCTGTGTTCATTTCAGTGTTATTTACAATACCCAAGATCTACAAACAGCTAAAGTGACTATCAGATGAATGGATAAAAAAGCTATGGTACATTTACACAATTGAATACTACTCAGTTGTAAAAAAATATAAAATAATGAAATCTTACCTTTTGGATCAGCATAGATGGACCTGGAGAGTATTAGTCTATGTGAAGCCAGTCAGAAAAAGACAAATACAATATGATCTCACTTATATGTGGAATCTAATGAACAAAATAAACCGACAAACAAAATAGAAAGAGAGGCATAGATACACGAAATAGACTGACAACTGTCAAAAGAGAGGGGTGGGGGGGCTTGGTAAAAGAAGGTGAAGGTATTAACCAAAAAACTACATTATATATATATATTCATAAATAACCAAGACATGGAAACAATCTACGTACCTATGTGTCCTCCAAGGGTGAATAGATGAAATAAATGTGGTACATGTGTGTGTATATGTATATAACACCTAGACACAGACAACAGTGTGGTGATAGCCAGAGGGAAAGGTCGGGTAGATATGTAGCTTTTGGCAAAGGGGGTAGGATACTAGTAAATGGAGATGGAAAGAGACTTTGCTTTGGGCAATGGATGCATGATGCAGTATGCAGATGATGTTTTGTTGAGTTGTACACTTGAAACCTCTATGGTTTTGTGAACCAATGTCACCCCAATAAATTCAAATTATTTTAAAAACAATGAAAACACATGACAGAGACTGGAAATGATTTGCAAAACACATATCTGGTAAAAGAATTGTATCCAAAATGTAGAAAGAATTCTTTAAAATGATCAACATTAAGGAAACTTATTTATTTAAAAATAAAAGACCAATAGTGGAATGGTGGACCCTTGACATCATGCATTTGTGAAAAGTCATAGAACTATATAACACAAAGTGTCAGTCCTAATGTAAACTGTAGATTTTCATTAATAATAATGTTTGGCCTACAAAAAAACGTAGGGGAAATACTGAATGGCATTGGTCTTGGCAACGAGTTTTTTTTAATATGATATTAAAAACACAAGCAACAGAAACAAAAATAAGCAAGTGGGACTACATTAAACTACAAAGCTTTTGCACAGCAAAAGAAACAACACAATGACAATGCAACCTACAGAATAGGAAAAATGTTTGCAAACCATATATCTGATAAAGGATTAATATTCAAAATATATAAGCAACTCATATAACTCAGTAGCAAAAACAAACAAACCCAGTAGTCCAATTAAAAAATGGACAGAGTATCTGAATATATTTTTTCCAGAGAATTCATACAGATGGCCAACAGATACATAAAATTTGCTCAACATCACTAATCAATCAGAGAAATGCAAATCATAACCACAATGAGATATCACCTCATGTCTGTTATAAAAAAGACAAGAAATACAAGTGCTGGTGAGAATGTGGAGAAAAGGGGACCCTTGTTCACTGTTGATGGGGATGTAAGTTGGTGAGTTACAGTGAAAACAATATGCAAGGTCATCAAAAAATTTAAATTAGACCTGTCACCTGATCCAGCAATCCCACTTCTGAGTATATATGGAAAGAAAATGAAATCAGAAACTTAAAGAGATATCTGCACCCCCTTATAGTCATTGCAACATTATCCACAATAACCAAGACACAGAAACAACGTACGTGTCCTCCAGTGAATGAATAGATAAAATAAATGTGGTACCTGTGTATGCATGCAAATGCATACACATATACACAGAGAACTATTATTCAGCCATAAAAAGAAAGAAACCCTGCCTTATTGAATCATAGATGGACTTTGAAGGCATTGTTCTGTGTGAAATAAGTCAGACAATAAAACAAATACTGTATGATCTCACTTATATTTACAATCTATAAAATGAAAACTTATAGAAACAGAAAATAAATTGGTGGTTGCCAGGGCCTGGGGTTTGGGGAAGTGGGAATATGTTGTTCAAAGGGAACAAACTTCCAGTTATAACGCATAGTTCTGGGGATATAATGTACACTATGGTGACTATAGTTAACAATACTTGCTGTATACTTTAGAGTTGCTAACAAAGTAGTTTTTAAATGTTCTTATCACAAAAAAGGTAATTATGTGAGGCAGTGGATGTGCTAGCTAACCTTATTGTGGTAATCATTTCTCAATACATATGTCTATCAAATATCATGTTTCACACTTTAAACTTATACAATGTTCTGTGTCAATTATATTTCAACAAAGCTAGAAAATAAAAATAAGAACAAAAACAAAACAAAAACTACTGACTTTTAGAATAAAACCAGTTCCTTCCTGCTGAAGGGCCAATGGCTGATGGTGGCTTAATATGATACTACCTCCAGGATAATGGGATCAAATCATCAAACACAGGCAAACAAAAAAGCTATAATGTTAAAATTTCAGACACTGACCAGCAGATGAGGAAGGTATGTGGAAGCAGCAGAGAGGTCTTCCTTGCATTCTGAATCAGATGCTGTATATCTCAGCCTATTCTAATCTGAATATAGAGTAGGATTAAACTTTAAGTTTAGGCCCCCTGGTTCCAAGAATTCTCCATTCAAGCAGATTTTGCTTTGATAGTTGCAAACCCTCCAAATGAAAGTTGATAAATTATTGAAGTGTTCCATTTGAAATGTCATAAATATATTCTAAGTCTTCCTTGTGTTCCATGAATCATATTTTCTGGTGGTGAGTTCGCTTTCTCCCTCTATTACCAATGTCACTTCCCTATTAAATACAGTTGCATTACTCTCAACCTGGCATAGAACACTTGCTTTTAGAAAAACATTTCCCTCCCCTAAACACCTACCCTGAAGTCACTAGTTTTTAACCAGGCTCTTTTGACACTTGCAGGGGGAATGGAGGAGGGAGAAAATGTTGCTTCACATTAAATGGATATCGTTGGGTTATTGGCAGCACCAACCCTGCATAATGGATTATGGTCTCTTTTTTAAAAAAAAAATTATTGATTAAGTTATTACATATGTGTCCTTATCCCCACATTACCCCCCCATCCCCCCCACTCATGCTCTCACCCCCCTATTGTCTGTGTCCATTCGTTAGGCCTATATGCTAGCATATAAGTCCTTTGGTTGATCTCTCCCTTTTACCCCCACCCTCCCCTACCTTCCCTCTGAGGTTTGATGGTCTGATTGATGCTTATGGTCTCTTGGAAAGAGCTCTGAACTGAGAAGTCAAAGAATGTGGATTCTAGCCCTTGCTTTGTGACATTGGGTATGGCATTTCCCTACAGGTCTCAGTGTCTTCATCTGTAAAATGGATAATGGCAACATCCCAAATTTCTCAGTAATGCTGTGTAGATGGCAAAGCATATGTTGCTGCAATAATCACCACACCATTCCAAAATCTATGAAGGAATGTAAATCTTCCCTTGGTGATTTTCAGTTCCAGTTCACACTCTCTAAAATGGATGCTTTGAAATGTCTGCCCATAGTGGTCAGTGGGTAATTTGAGAAGTCCCTTGCTACTTAACTTATAACTTTTCCCTTTGATCTTTCATCTACTCTAGGTGTCAACTCTGCCCGCTCAGTTCCTCCTTCCTACCCACCACCGCAGGACCCATTAAACCAGGGCCAGTACCTGGTCCCAGATGGCATCGCTCAGTCACAGGTCTTTGAGTTCACCGAACCCAAGCGCAGCCAGTCACCATTCTGGCAAAACTTCAGCAGGTTAACCCCCTTCAAAAAATAGTACCTACAGGGAGGCAGATAATTTTAAAATAAAGTAAATAAAATTATATTTATAGATGGACCTTTTTTCGGAGAAGCACTGTTGAAATTTATAAATATATATATGGACATATACACACACAGAGAGACCCTTGAGTGTACACACACACACACACACACACACACACACACACACAAACACACACACAGAAGGACCAAAAACGTTTTCTGTTCTTTGGGGGAAGTGAAATCTATAGTTGGTAGGAAGAGGTATCAATGACTTCTAAACATTTGATCTCTTCTTAAAAGTTTTGTTTTGTTCTTCTTGCTCTATCCCCTTCCCCTTTACTTTCAGAAATTGACATTTCTATTTGTTCCTTTTCTTGTTGAGATAATCTCTTTACTCCCCTGAGTGATTCATTGACTTGTCATTATTACCATAGATGTGTTTATATTGGTTTTTTTTCTTTCCCAATGATACTGATGCTGATGACTTTTTAATTTAATTTAATGTGGTGGGTTTGGGAGTTTAGAATTGTTTTTCCTTTTACTTTTTACTAGGTAAAGGGAGGGTCTTCTTTTTCCTCTCCTTTAGCTGACCATCTATCTTCAAATGTTTATGCAGCCCTATAGTTGCCCCAAACAGCCTTTTCCCTGCATCTTCTGTTCTCAGTTGTATGAGTCTGGATGTGCTCTGTTGTGCCCTGTGACATAACTACTCAATATTCCTATTGCTTTCACTGTGTTTTAGGTATTGTAGAGGGATGAAAACCAAACATAAGAAAGGGCATGTCAGAGTATAATGATGCAGGAGAAGACTTCTGTTCAGGGAACATTCTGCATTTGGGCTACTTCTTCTCCTAGCACTGGGGTTTCCCATGTTGCAGCACTACTGAGTTGTGACAGTTTTGTATCTGGGATTTAGTTTCACAGATTATTCTGTTCTTCAAGATGCTTTGGTTATGGTTTTCCTTCTAAGCCTGTCCCTCTCCTAACCTAAAAGATCTGAACTGGAAGCAAACAGGCTAAAACTCTGCCTCCTGTTGGAGGGATTCAACTGCCTCCAGTACCAAATAGATTTAAGAAAGGGCTCCCCACAGTTTGAGGGCCCGTTCGTCCCAGTTTCCATTTGCAGATTGTTTAGGCAGCATTGATAGGAGTCTATAAATGGATAAAGATAGAGTCTACCCTACCTTACCAAGCTCATCACCTGTCTTTAAATTATTTACCTAGAGAAGATCCAATGCTGATGAGTAACTTCTTACAGGAAAAAAACGGGTGGGTATGGAAATAGACAGCCTTGGCCTAAGATATGTACCTGCAGTTCCTACCATTCAAGTTATTTGAGACTTCCCTAATTATTAGCAGATTGCATGGACAATCTCCCTTTTCTTCCCCTCTTCCTATCTTTCTTCTTTTTCCTGCTCCATTGGCACCGGAAGATTGGTGGTATTGCCATAGTTAAAGCACTCTGGCACTTGAAGAAGGCCCCATTTCCAACATTGTCCCATCTCAGGACATTTGAAGCAAGTAAGGATTCCAGGGGGATTTTTCCCTATGGAGAAAGGATCTGAGACAGAAATCCCATACTTAGGCTCATTTTTGGACAGGATTTACACTGGGGTAAAACTAACTTCTCCCAGAAAGAGTTCCCTGTGGGTACAGGAGTACTTGCTTCTCCTCCCCACATGGCCCCTTTTGTGGATAGACGTTGAACAGCAAGAAGAATGGAGTACAAAGAAGTAAGGATTGACCTTGCTATGGAGAACTCTAGTGAGGAATCTGGAGATTGTGAGTCTGTTCAGAACCCCTTGGGAGAAGACTGCGTCATGAAAGGACCTTAGCTTACTAAGCAGTAACCATGGCTGCATGGGGCCCTCAGTGTTGCTTGTGTTGATTGTTGATTGTTGCTCTATGACTCCTGACCCAGACCAGTCCTACCCAGCCGGGGAATTTTTCTTCTGTGGGAATCAAACTGCAAGTTGTTTCAGCTTCCATTCAGACTTGTGGAATGAGCCAAAGATAAGCTTGAGTTGGGCAGAAGGCCAGGGCTTGGGACTGGCCACCACTGCTCAGAACATGACCCAGCTACTTAAGCACCCTTGGCAAGGAACCTGTACCTAGCGCATAAGATAAAATGGCCTCTCTGGCAAGCAGAATGTGTTTCAATGTCTGGGTAGGCCTTTCTTGAACTTACATTCTTTCCTACTTGCCCCACTATGCTTGGCACTGACATGTTTCTATGTGGTCTTGGAGCCCACCAAAAGGGGATTTTCAGACAAGTCCCTGGGCCTACAATATCTCTTGGTCAAACCCCCTTGTCCCTGTGCTCCCCTAGACCTGTACCCAGAGCTCCATGATCAGGGATATTGCCTCTTGCCATCCACCTCCCATCCATCTATCTCTCATCCACCCAACCCACTGGCCTCACCAGATGCCAATGACTTGTGAAAACATCAAGAAATAAGTTTTCCCTTGGTTGTAGTGTTCCCCCAGCCTATGGCAGCAAATCAAACCAGTGGCCAGCAGCCCCATGGGGAGTCCCATTATCTGGGCTCATGGTCCAGTCCTATTCTGTGTCCTCACAGCAGTGCTATCCCTAAGAACTCTGTAAATCTTTGTTTCTGCATGGCCCTGAGCTCCCTTTTCCTCAACTCAATGAGGCCTGGATTTGCTCTTCAAAAGGCTTTGCTATTGTGTTCTATGGGCCCTGCTGTGGGATGGTCCTAACACAGAAACTCAACTCCTCTTTCTCTCTCCCTCTCCCCCATTCTCTCTATGTGTATATCTCTAATGGATTTATAAGAACAGCAACAAGAGAGTTCTAACAGTTCTAGTGTAAAGCCAAATAGTGATCTTTTAGTGCTTTGGGGATGGGGTGGGCTGGGGTGGTTGGATGGGCAACAGTGATTTTGATTACCCCTGCTGCTCTGCATTTGCCAGTTTATTTTGTTTCTCCTAATTGACTGTTTGACCCTGTCAAACAAATGTCAAAGTTGTGTGTTTAAAAAAATGTTTAACAACAAAACTACGATGTTGTAATGACACAAAGCCTTATGAAAATATTTATGGAGTTCAATAAAAGAAGTAAAAAGACACCTCAGGCATAGCTCTCGTGCCATTTTTGTGTGTATATGTGTGTGCTTGTTTCCCAATAGCAAAATAAGGGGAATTTACCTGGCAGGGGGGGGCAGCTTACCCTAGCTTATTCTCAGCCTGCATCCCTGCTGTACCATTGCCAGGCAATCCATAGGCTATGACCTTTCATGTTCGTTCTGGAAGAGTTGGTCACAAGAATCAAATATGATCCTGTAACGGGGCACTTCAAGTGCCTTTACTGATGGGACTGTCCTTCAGGTTACCTGGCTCTTGGACCAGACTTCAAAGCCCATTCCTGACCTTGCTCCTTTTCCTTGTAGCTGTGAGTTCAGTACCTGCCTGGAACTCATGGAATCATAAAAATTGTTTTATGGACCCAGCAAGAGACCATCTCAGGAGTCCCCTACCCCCAGTTCTTTCTTAATGCTTCCGAGTCCATCTCCTCAGAGGTAGATTCATTACCCAAAGCCAGTGGAGTGGCCATATTGTTTCTTTCATCATGGTGTTACCTATATATATACATAGATGCTCCTTGCTGCCCACAGACTCCCAAGTGATGTCTTATGCTGCCTATCAGAGACACCATAGTGGGTCTGTCTATTCTGGCACTGCCTAACCTGCCCTTCTTGAGAGCAGCTAAACACTGACCCTAATAAAGTACTTATTTACTGAAAGGTTTTAAGGTGTAAGCCTTGTGTGTCTAGACCTTGGGGATATCCCCATCCACCAGGATTTGGAGAAAGAGATAATTAAACCATCTCCTTCAGTAATCTTTTACCCTTTCTTTATTTCTCCTCATTTAATATCTTTCTCTACTGCCCTCATGGGGTCTGCCATCTCGCTCCACCAAACTCAAAAGTCTCAATTCTTAGCAGCCATCTTCCCCAGCTACCAGACTTGAATCTCAATTACCTCCTGCAGAGCAAGAAGACTGTACCTAGTCTTAGTGTTCCCTGATGACCTTATGTAGGTACTACAGTAGAGAGTGGGGAAATAAATAGTGGGGGTCTTACACTCCTCGATGCAGCTGATTCTTTCCTAAGGTACCTTAGGAAAGCACATCTTATCGCCAGAAGAATTATTTATGAAAACCTTATATGGTCTACATGATAAATCCATATTATTTATTACCATAAAGGATGGCCTTACTAACTTACAAACTTATTTGCTAAGAGCATTTTACCTATTCCTGCCCTTAGTTTTATTCACTGATGAGAGTACTGCTATATTCATTGATATGTCACTTGCCTCTCTAATTACTAAGTCTCCAAATTGCTTTGCCTAATTACTAAGATTTTCCTCTTGACTGGGAGCAGAGGTGGCAATGGATTTCAAGTATCATTTTCAGAAGGCCTTCAGAAGGGGAGGGCCACAGGGCCTTTACCAATTTCAAGATCATTGTGTTGAGAATGATGGCTTCTTGTTCGACTTTCCTCAGGATTTTCTGGGAGGCTGAGGGGTCAGGAGAGATGTCTTTGTGGTGTGTCCAGATGGCCAGAACTAGAATGGAGAAAAGATACTCATCCCAGCTTCCAGGAAAGGCCTCTTCCCAAACAAGTCATCCCTGACCTATCTCTATCCTGGAAAGGCTCCCACCAGCTGTGATGGAGGAGGCTTATGGCTTGTCTAAATACAAGAATTCCTAGTATTTTCAATGACCTTACATATAATGGTCTCTTTTAATTTTTATGACAACCATTTAGCAATGGTGGTTGTTAACCACATTTCACACTGGAAAAGCCAGGGGCTCATTTAAAGTGACCAAAGTTACCCAGCTTGTGAGTATTCTTCACCTATTCCCCACTACCATTCAAACTGATCTCAGAGCTGATTACTCTCAGAGTGTTCCTGAGGGTGGCACAGATTGGGGTAAAGGGTGGGGGAAGCAAGAATATAGAATGACTTGATTCTAACATGTGAATGAGTGTAATACCCTATATGCTCCTTGAGGGCTCTACTTCTTCAGTTTTC